TGGAGAGCACTCAAGAAGCTAGAGTCGCCCTCGGCCATCGCCTCGGGCGACTCTTACGCTTCTTTCGTGCTCTCCAAACTTCCCGCGTGCTCCATAACTCGATAGAGCACGCTAAAGCATGAACCAATTGTTAAATATAGAGTTGATTTGATAAATTTCGAATAATTTGCACCCATTTGATGTTTCTTGACTAGGATGTCTTGAATTTGCTTTTGTTCGATCTTTTTCCCTCTTGGAACGCTCCATCGTTGCTTCATACTAGTACAAGTCAAGTCATCAGGCAGAGATCTAAGACCAAGTTGTTTACAGTGTGCCAGGTAGAAAAACAAAGCAATGATGTGGAGGCAATATCCATCTATTCCAGCAACACAACTGCATTTCCCGCTCAATGATTTATCTTTCAACTCGATATTTGCCGAGATGTTATGCGGGGACTCGGTTTTTTTCATTGATCGAAAGCATTTGGCTGTTCTAGCAACATAGTCAGTCGTGTAACTAACTGAAAGAAAGAAAATATACGCTTATCAGAATCACGCATCACGAGCGGTTAAGAATTTAACAAATTGTTCCCTCAAAAAGTGTGACGGTCACTTTGTAACTTAAAATTAGAAAATATAAAGCTTTCATACTATATATTTCTGTCGGAAGTAAATACCTTTTATTTCGTGTAGATATGGTTCTGCGAAAAATTTGTACGCTTTCACTGTGTTTTGACATCCAGACTTGAGTTTGGCGTAAGTCTCGACGTCCGCGAACGTCAAATTTGGAATCAAAGACAAATCTTGAGTCCCATTATCTGCTAAGACAAGGATTGCTTTAAACTTTTTACTATTCTTCCGAAAATGTTCTAAGAAAAGGTAAGAGATTACGACAACAACTTGCGATACTTATCCATTGTTGATCCCGCCATGTTTGTCTTGATGACGCTCACTTCGCGAAGTCAAAACTTCGTCAAAACTCTCTTAGTTCCGTCGAAAATCTCACAAAATTCACTGTATGGTAAGCTTTGGCAATAAATATTTTCCAATTGACAAAGAGACGGATTAGGATTAACCTTTAGAGCACTTTCAACACAAATAAGAGACACGCTTTAATACAAAGATAATAGCTGGTTGTCATGCAACACAGAGAATGGCTTGCCAGCCAGCATGGCGTTGCTAAGGGGAAATCGGTCACATGATCAACTCCTGCAAAAGGCCTATTTTGAAAACTATTAAGCTCTTTAAAGTACTGATACGTCTGCCTACCATGCTAATTCAAAGAAGGATACTGTGAACTCCAATTGCATGTGCCAGGTAAATTCCGACTCTGAAATGATTTCCCCAGATATCCAAGGCCCTTGAAAGATTATCTATGTGTTTTAAAGGATTTTTGTATGTGTTTTAAAGGAGTACGCGTCGTACAATGATATTGAAATTCTAACCGACTTTAGAATAGAAAATGTCTACCTGTCATCTCTGTTTCCACCCTATCAGGAAATCCTTTGGGTACTCCGAGTCCACATACAGAGCTTACAATAATCTGAAACTCGTAGATAGAACCTGGAACTAAACCTTTCATAGTGTAGGAAGTGGAACTGCCCAAATCTTGAAAACCTTCCTCTCGAAAACTCTCATTGTAAGGCTTTGTTCCGAGATACTTCACCTTATTAAATAAAAAAATTTGTAAAATAAAACACCACTTGATTAATGAAGAGATTCTAACGTTGAAAGAGAAAAAAATTAGCAGTTTTACATTAAACCTTTTTCTCCTTAGGAGTCGGATAAGGGCCTTATGTCTCCAAACAGCATCACCTCTGAATCAAGCATTAAGGTCAGAAGGATGAAGGAAATGATCACCAACTGAAGAAGCTCTTGATTTTTAGAAAAAGGGAGTACCATAGGAAAGGTAAAGAGATGCAAATCGATGTTGGGATGAAAGGGATTAAATACCACACAAACTTCAAAAAAATAAATCGTTTAGCTTACTCTATAGCCAATGCCTTCTTTCGGTGTAAGCTTAGGCTCTTTCCATTCTAGTCTCACTTGCGTTGTTCCAACATTTGAAGCACTCAACCCCCAAGGTGTTCCTGGGTCTTTGAGGAAAATTAAAGTGGTTTCAGTATTAAAGAAAATATCACGTTCCTAAAAAAAAGCGAAGTAAAAGCGATTCTTCGTAAAGATATTACGATATTACATTCTTCAGTTTCCAAATCTTATCTCAGAAAATCTTTTCCAAAGAATCTTTTTCTCAGAAAATCTTTTCCAAAACTAATTTCTCTTGCAATCGGAATGTGACTGATGTGACTTTAGTGTTTCTTAAGTTGGTGTGGAGGACTGTAGGGATCATGCGATAAAATGACTTAGTTCATATTTTTACCTAAAGTTTCTGCTTTCGTTGGTTCCTTGTGATACTATCCTCTATTCTGATTTTCCGAGTGTATACTGTGGCTTTGGTTTAACTTCAATCAATATAAGAGGGCTATTTTGATGTCTATCATATTTATTTACCTGCTGTTCTCGGTAGTTCTACAGGTGGACCATATGGACCGGGTCCTACTTTGGTATAAGCTCGAACAGACACTTGGTATTGCGAACAAAGCAATAATCCACTCAATAAAATGAATGTGTTTGTTGTATTAACTGTTTTGCTACTCAAAGAAGATCTGTTCTGTCTTGTTCCCCGAGACAACAATTCTTCTTTGACGCTATACAGAATGATGTCGCCATTGCTCTGTTCTCCTGGTAGAGGTACCCATGTAATGTTAAAGGTGGTCTTGTTGACCTCAGCAGATGACACATTAGCTGGGCCCCCACTAGGTTCTAAGAGAAAAAAATTTCCTTCAAAAGTTAAAAAATCATGCTCTAAGAAGTTTTTAGGGTCCGAGTACGTCAATTCCAACCCCTGCTAATTTCTCCTCCAATAACCACCCTCTTTCATCTTAGTTTAATTCCAGTATTTTTTTTTTTAATCTCCCCAAATTCAAGTTTTGTGGTTTTATTAAAATTGAATTTAATTATTTCATTTCACATAAAGCCACCGCAATAAAAGTACCGGTAACAGAGATTTTGCTTCTTTTTAATATGGTATCTTATCTACACAGATACAGATGGAGATACAACAGATAGAGATACAGATACAGATCTTTACCGAGGCTCCCTGAATAGGGTTTTCAGCATCAATACAAATAGTTAAAAAGAAATAAAACTAAAATTAAAAAAAAAAAACTATAGTTATAGCTCAATATACTCCAGAAAAATAAAAACATAAAATAATTAGGTTAACCTTACAGCAGCTTAGTAAATTGACGCTTAAATTTCTTGGGACATTTTAAACACTCAAGAATGCTGCTTAATGAGTTCCACTGACATATCTAGCAGAACCATGGTTGAAACTCAGTTTCTTGCTATCCATGGAGTAACTGATCGGTGACATTTAGCAGAGCTGTTTCTGTAGAAGTTTTCTGTTTCTGCCCTGATTTATGGCCAACATATAGTTGTTAGTTAAGTACTCGAAAAATTATCTGAAGTCTTTCAATAACTTGAGGTAATTGGCAATAACGAGATGGGGCGGTAATTTGTAGGAACTTCAGGGTCTCTACCTATAAGAATAGGTGTGATTTCTGCAATTTTCCATGCACGTGGGAACGTGTTGGTGGTGAAAGAGGTGTTTACAATGCGGGTTATTGTCGCAAGTTGGAAAGGAAGGCTGTGGTTTAATATTCTAAAACATATTTTGTCCATTCCTGGAACCTTATTATCTGGTAATCTTCTGATCACACTTTATACCTGACTTTCTGTGGCTTCACTAAATTTGAATAATTCTTGCTTGCTGGTGGAAGAAACAGAAGCAGGAGATAGTGCTTCGAAATTCGAATTGAACGCGTTGTATGAAGCCAACTCACTCGCTTTTTTGGGATTCAGGTTGCCAACAGACGCGAAGATTCGTTTAGTCTATTAGCTAACCCAGTGGGATCATCAAAACCTATGGAGCCATTTTCATTCTTACGTGGCAGATAACGATTACTGACTTTCCAGATGGAGTTACAATTTCCTTTACTCTCTCGAATTTGAGCCCTGACGTTAGCTTTTTCAGCTATTGGTACCTCCCTCTTAACTTTTTCACGAAAAAATTGTATTCATTCCAGTGAAGGGGATCCTTTGTTTTCGAAGCAAGTTTACGCCATCAGTCGCGTGTTCTCATCAGTTGACGAATTTCTGGTGTGATAAATGGGTTAGGTTTAGATCTAATTTGAACTATCTTGACCAGTACGTGATGATTTAGGACTTCCAATAACACTTCATTAAATTCGTCAACCTGATCGTTTAAGTCGTCAAATAAATAATTATATGAAAAGGCGTGAGGGAAAGGTCATGCAAAAAGTTGTCGACTTTGTAATTTTAGTAGCTTCCGATAGTTACGAAAGAGGGCTTGATTCAGATTGAAACATCTCGTAAAAAATCCTAACACAACAACCTTCGTAGAGTGTTTTACATTTTACTTCTTGATTGGCCAAAGTGATCGTAATCTATACACTTAAAGAAATAATTGATAAACGTCAATGCCTGGACAACTGCTCAACTGAGAGAAAGTTTAAAGGCCCAGTTTCATCCACTTGGCTTTGCAGCCGTTTGTTATTTTCTTGGAATCACGATCGCATTTCTGATTGGCTCTTTTCTTAACGTGGGTTTCCTCTGTTAAGTGTCAATTCGAAGCGCGCCCTAGCGGGATCGTATATTTTCCTTTGTTTAGCTGATACCTTATATTGAGTAATTTGCAGGATTCGTGCTTCGTGGATAGTTTTCAGAAGAGGTGGCTCAGCATCGGACTCGAACGAAGACGACGACGAAGACTCCGACATAATAACTGCCGAGGTGAGATATTTCCGGTACCGAATATGCTTTCTACTAAAGCACCTGAATTCTCTCTTCAGGAAACAGAAAATGAAAGAGTGAACTGTTTTTGCTCGGGGCAATGTGCGCGGAAGAAGGAAAGAGGAGCGAGTCCTCGCGAAACAGCCGACCTGAATTGTGCACAAAATGGTGAAAAGAATAGACAGATTAAGTAACTGAATAATGTAGTAGTAAACAAAAAAGGATTTTCTTTTCTAAGCTACAAGGAAATTTCATGATCAGATCCTCTGGATTAACAAGCTTTACATACATACATACATACGTGAGTTGAACACTCCCAATGGGGGCTTTTCAGGACCAATTCCCACCCATCCCACCCCAGGGGAGGACATCCACTACAAAGTAGTCTCGTGCGTAGGAAATTAACGTCTCCTACCCCTAACCCTGCAGGAGACGGGGCCTACGGTTAATTCGTCCTTATCCGGGAAGACTAGAATATCTATCCTTTTATTGATTATAGAAAGGTAGCAAATTCTCCTCACTTATTTAAAGACCATGAGTATCGGTCCGGCCGGGGCTCGAACCCTCGACCTCCCGCAGAACACAATCCGGCGCTCTAACCAATTGAGCTGACGGGGAGGCGGTTAACTAAATTTTATGTTTTGTCAGGGTTTCAGCATATACACAAAGCCAAGTATTTTAGTGCACATTCATTCCAACCCAACTCTACCACGATAGGCTTTTGAAAACGAACTAAGAGTGGAAATGCAACTGCTACAAAACAATCAAGTATTTTACCATCTTCCATTGTTCTTTCCACTTCAACAGAACTCTTTGGTCCATCACCATGAGATGTAAAAGCCAACACTTTAAACTCATATTCTGTGTACTTATCCAGACCAATAATATCTCCAGATAAGGTTGTTCCATTATTGATAGTTTCAGCAGACATTGACCCCATAAACCCCTTCTTTTTGTAGAACAATCTGAATCCTGCAATAATTCCATGTCTAGAATACGCGGAAGGTAACTGCCAGGACGCTGTAATACTTGTAGAGGAGCTGGCAATTAAAGTCAAGTTACTAGGTGCTTGTGAGGGAGCTGAAATTGAGACAGGATGATAATTTAATAATGGAAATAAAAATGATGATCATCGTGATATTTACAGTGAAAAATTGATAAATGCTTGTAAAAAATTCGTGGCTGGTATGTGACGTGCCGTTTCCTCTCGGCCAAGAGACTCCTCAGATACTTTTCGTACATTCAGTTATTTAAAAAATAATAATAAATAGTATGTGATAATAATAACTACGCTACTAATACTTTTCATTTTTTGTGCATAAAAATCAACAAATGTGGTATAGTTATTGATCAAACTCTCCGCGGACTACTGTATATTGGGCATCTTTTCCAGTCCTGCATAGTTATAAAAGCATTGATTTATAGATTCTTGGGAACTTTTGGGAGCAAATATATGTACTTAATCGCGCAGATGGGAGAGGAATGTATGCCAAAACTGATTCAAACAAATCAACTTCCCATTTGTAGGCCCCTTCTGATCAAACTACCACCAACATTGAACATTAAGGGTACTGATCCACCTCGTTGATTGGGTATCATAGGTCAAGGCTTTTTAAGTTAAACTATATCCAACAATTAAAGCGGCTAAGTAATAAATTATTATATGCTATTCAGCCGGCCTTAGAATTAGAATTGCAGAATGTGAAAATTTGATGATATCCATGAAACAAAAAGTTATACCTTTAGATATAAGAACTCCATACACCTCTACTCTCAAAACTTTCCTTCTCTGAAACTTGACTGGCTGAAAACGGATGAACCTTGCCCTCACAGCTCTCAGTTTATGTTTGACAATGTCACTTCTTCCAGAATTGCCATTGAAAATCTTAAAAAATTAAATAAAAATACGAGTCGATGATTTAACACTAGACCTATTTTATCATTAAGTTCTAAGGCAGACTGGAACAGTGTCATCATTGAATCCCTAAACTAACAGCCAGTCAGTTTTCTAGACAAGCTGTGCTTAAAATTCCCTAGAAGCGTTCTCTTTTTTCTGCTTTACAATTACGGTCAGCTAATCCAATTTTCATTATATTTATAAAGGACGAATAAAGTCTTCAGGCAACTCTCTACACGTGTCTATAACTGGGATGCTTAGCCTCGGATAACATGAACATCTACGGTCCTTGCTTTTAGAGACATGTATGTCTGTCACCCATAATAGTATGCTGGTATCTATTTAAATCTGAGTACCGTAATGACAAATACATATTAAATTTGTAACTTTCCATTAAAGTCACAGGCTTTGTTCTCCAGGGCTCAGAGACCTAATAAAGCCTTCGCATAGCCTTTAAAATTTCCTTTAAATAGGCACTGTACACCTTTAAGAATATCTTGACTTCTACCGCTTTTATAACCAACCTTGTCGACATTGTTTTCCTTGTAGGTTGCAAAAAAGGAACCATCAAAGGATAGCTGTAACTTGTATTTTGTTGTCCAATTATCATAAGTTGATCTCCCTTGAGTAGCTACAGCACAAATAAGAAACTCATACTGCAGATCAACTTGCAGATAATCATCAGGTCTGTCATTTCTGTTGGGTGACCATCCCCTAAATGCATGCAGTCGACCTCTAAAAGCTTCATAACTAGTGCGCTCACTTGATGCTGAGAAGCTGGCATCAGGGAGTGTGTCATTGCTAGCCACACCAATGGCCTGCATTTGGCAAGCTGAAATCAGTCAAAATAAAACGATGAACAGATGAATTAAAAAGCAGATATATGCAACACACAAGAATTAGACATGAAGCCTGCCAATCCAAAACTAATTTCATTTGTATAGGATTCAGTTGGAATAAAATCAGAGCTGGTCTAAAGATCCATTAATGGTCAATTTTAATTTCAAATTTGTCAGGTGTATTAACTTAAATACCGTTTTTTTTTTTCGGTCTCTAGTACCAAACTTTCACCATATATGTGACATTAAACTATGTCCAACATTGTACCAATGTTTTCCACTTCACTTAAAGGTTTGAAAAGAATCCATTTGAATTAATGTACCCACAGGTACTGCGATGAAAGTATGGCAGATAGAACTCAGTCACCTAAATATTTCAAAGGAAAGGTTAGGTAACCCAAGGCATAAAATTTTTCATGTGAATTTTCTATATACTACAGCAGAAAACCCTCCTAAACTAATAAGAATCAAGAATTATTTGAAGTATAGCGCAAAGCGCATAGAGTTCAATTTTCATGTGCTATATAAGAACTTATTATTAAAGTAGTGGGGGTAAATTAATATTCTCAATACCTTAATAGTTAATGCATGGTAAAAAAAAACTGAGGAAGATAGCAGTAAGATTGATCCTGAAGGCAGCTCGAGTTTATTGAGTAAAAGTCAGTACAGGTTCAACCATAACAACAGAGCTCGTCAGTCACGTTCAGAAAATGACCAGGATCAGAAAGGCAATACACATGGAAAATACCTATGAGCTAGTGTACATTAGTATTCTAACTCCTCTGTGTAATAACTTGAGACTTCAATCAGTTTGAGTTTGTCAAGTATCTAACATTATTTTGATATGAGATATTTTACCTCTCCTTTCAGAATAAACTTCAACTTCACAGAGTGTGAAGTGTTCCATGTCTGTTCTTAAACTTCTTACTGTCACGTATCTTCCGAATAAAACAGGACGACAGAAAAAGGATACACCTTTTCCTCTTGGAAGACTATAACTCTGCTTATTACCACACCTGGGATTGGTATTTCCTCCATTATCAGATATTGTGCCTATACAGAATCACCAAACAATGTCGGCTTTAGCAGGGAAAGTAATCAAGGACTTGTTTACCCTACTATTGTTACACAATGGTATGAGAGTCTTAAATGAAGCCAGATGGCTAACACTACTGTAGATTACGCCACGTTTGAGTGTAGGACGTATCGCTTATCCTCCTGGCCCTGGTTGTTCAAAGGTCGGATAATGCTATCTACCCAGGGGATAGTGCTGCGATTTTTGTTGACATTTGTCCGCTAGATAGCAATTTATCAGTTAAATAGCATTTACATCTCCCCTTTAAACACATTTCCAACATTATGAGACAGTATTTCTTAATGCACGTTTGACACCGCAGTAGATGTGACTGATGTCAGGTTGATTATTATCTAAAATTATCTTTCAGATCATCTTCTAAACCTCGTCCTTTGTGTCAGTATCGCTTTGTTGTGACTTGCCATTGTTAAAGTTGTCGCTAGTTTTCGAATTTCACCAACTATTCTCACGTACAGCAAGGACAATCAGTAAGCATGGCTTTGTATTGCTCTAGTTTCATTTTGTTTAAGTTGTACTTTTATCAGTGTTAGTTTTATCTTACATTCATGTATATAGAGTTTAGTTACAGTATAGTAATAAAAATTCAAAAAGTCATCCAATTAACCTACCCACTCTGATCTCAAAACTATTTTGTCTGAAAAACCATTCATCTATTCTGTTGACTAAGTATATTTCTGCAACTGGTTCAACTTGTCCCAGGTCAACTCTCCACCAAGGGTTGTAATCTCTGCCTGTGTGGGTACAGCTTCCAGCATGATAGCTTGGGTTACTTATTCCGTCAACTGCCCTGCTACTCACACCACCATACTGTACACTGCTTTGTTCCGTTTGTTTTCTAAATGCAAGATTATCTGAAAGGACACATGCAGTTATCTTAATCACCATTTGGTCGCATTAAAAATGTGGTCAAAAAACATTTTGGAACTAAGGTTGATACTAAAAACTAAAATTCAACAAAAACGTTCAAAATTTTGCTTCAATTAAATACCAATCAGTACCAATCTCTGTGCTTTACGACACGTACATGTACCTCGCAAATAGATTTCCACTTCACAGAGGCAAAGAAATTGTCTCTTTACTGTCGATATCTCCACATATCTGCCAGTTGTCAGGGGGTCGGTAAAACAAACAGCTGATGCTGGGAAGTTTACAAAACTGTAGAGTCCTTTACACCAAGTGTTGTTTACCACTTGTGAGTTGTCACCTGATGTTATAAAAAAAATAGCAGCTCATCTCAACGAACTTTATGTAGCAAATATGCGACAAACAATTGTATCTATAATTAATGCATTTCATTAATAATGTGAGCTTCTTTTTCCCATTAAAACTGGGTTTTGGTGAGACACAATTTTGAAGGAAAATAAAATTTTGCATGTACATGAAAAATGTGAGTGTGTAACTGAACCACTAACAAGAAACAGAATAAATATTCCATCATTATAGTTTGAAGCAAGTAATTATAATGACTTAATTGCAAAGTATTTTGAGGGATTCAAATATCTATTCAGCAGCAACAGAAACAGTAACTGAAAATTAAAGCAGCATCAAACTCCCTCTAAAACATTTTTCTCAATATTCACATACATGTATATACTTGTGTGTGACAAAATTCTGCATATTAATATGGTTTTTCAACCTTGATCACGAGAAATGCCTTAGATTAATACTTTCATTGTACCCTTTTATCTTTAGCTTAGCTCATCTTGTTTACATGAATGGTATAGTGACTGCTCACCCAATGCAATTTTATAGTTTTCACTTCTGGCCAACACAGTGGTATGTGTTGAAAATCTGTTGACTATGAATATGTCAGAGACTGCCACCTTATCTGAACCCAGATCAACTCTCCACCAGCTTGGATTGTTTCCCCGAGTATGTGCACAGCTTCCATATCTAAATACAGTATTGGAATTACCATCCACTGCATTCCCTGACACACCTGACACACCCAGTTGAGTATTGTTAAATGTCGAAGACTGAATTGTGGCCTTTCCAAGGGCAATGTTTACTGTGCATAGAAAGACAAGAAAAAAAAAACAGCCAACTTTTATCTAACAAGTAAGCATGCTTGGATGAAGCACCTGAAAACAAGATTAATTCTATTTGTATGGATGATTACGTCAACTTTTATCATTGCTTTTAAAGTTTAGGGATCGATATGGTTGTTTCAGAATACTAAAGAAAATACACAAGATAACAGTTCTATGCTCATAAAAAGTTTTTCATGTCTCATTTCATGAAACATGTACCTGAAAAGTATCAAAATTGGCCACAGTTTTGGGTGTTTAAAGATTATCTGTTTTTGACCCTAAAACTCAGTCTCATAGATGAACATGTACACAGAACTTTATAGAGCCATCACCTTTGAGGCCATTTCCAAATAAGTTAAAGCCATTCTTTGAATATGGTGTTAAGTCAAATTAAAAGAATGTATCATAAAAATATTATCTACCATAATGTGCAAATAGGACTCATTTTCACAAGAAAGGTTCTGCTCTATGGGGTGTCGGTTGACCCACCTCAACAGAATGTATACACTAGCTACATTGCATCAGGTTGAGAAGGCTTTGACTATCACCATCTTAAGGAAGTTAGCACAGTTAATTACTTGGGTATCCACATTGATAGTGCACTCACATGGATGCAACATCAGGATTATATATGCAAAAAGATATGTCCAAAGCTTTGCCTGCTTAACAGACTCTCTCTTTTTCTATCTAGAGAAGTGTTATTGAAGATCTACAATCAGACCCTACTACCTACCCTTGATTATGGCTCTATCGTGTGGCTTGACTGCCCAAAAGCAATGGTGGATAGGTTGGAAAGACTAACAGAATTAAGCTCTTTGTACAATGCTTAAGAAGAATTTGTTCCCAAGTGATGCGTGAGATGTGTGATATACCGTCGTTAAGAAACCGTAGGCGATTTCTTCGCTTTCAACTTATTTTTAAAATTGTGTACAACTACAAATGTCCCGAACATTTGGTTTCTTATTTGCCAAAACGCTCGAGCCTTTAAACAAGAACACTCAGAGATGAACACCTATCAAATCTTCCACAAGAAAAAACCGCGATTGGACAAAGTACTTTCAAGTTTTCTGATGCAAAGGACTGGAACAGCCTTCCTCTACACCTAAGGAAAATTAGTGACTTTAATTTATTCAATTTAAATATTTACAATTTTTTATTACAATGAGATAAGCACGATCATTGTTGTTCTGTTCAATAGTATCTAATTTGCTATCTTTTTTTAACATAGTTTTAATATAGTTAATTTGTATATATGTATGTACATATATAATTTTCCATTTTAATAATTTTAATAGTTTTATATTTGCTGCACATGTATTAATACCAGCAGTTCCTTATGGAATTGCTGACACGTACATTTTTTTCCTTCTTTTTTGCAGGGTAAATAGGCAACCTAAAGTGTACTAGTGAAATAATCACCTGGTTTCTGCTTAACTCCAAACAATTCTGTCCTCAAACACACAGATCCATGGTATGCTTTGGGCAACAATCGCAAAAACTTTGCTTCAACAGTTACATAAAGAACATGTTTTACCTCTGAGATCTTGTCATCATTTCCTTGAAAGGTCTTCAATCAAAAGCAACAACAATATAGATCACATTAGAATGGTGCATCGGTAATAAATATACAGATAATAAGTATACTTGTTCCAGTAATTATAGAGATGCCCAGCATCTCAATGGTCGAGAAATGTTTAATATTTTGCTATAATCACCTCGCATGAGATGATTATAGATGCATGGTGGTACATTTGAACAGGGTTTCCTTGTATTTCGTCAATATCACTGAGCAAGTGATTAACGTGATCAATGGGAGAAAATTAAATTGCGAAGAGCACAAAAGATGCTAATGAGTTTGGCATTATTATATACCATAATTAAAATACTCTGTGTGATTAAAATAGTTCGTGCAAAGAACTCTCTTGATGACATGCCATGAACTTGGAATCTGCACAATTTAAGTTTAAATAGTTTCGTGTACATCTTTTGTGTTTACCTGTTCTGTTAGCTTATTTATTCATTTTTGTACAGCACTCTTGCACTTGAATAATAATATTTATGTAGGAATCAGGTTATTAAAACCTTAAATCTTCAATAATAAAATGTTGTCTATACTTTACAACACCCATTACACTTTTCAAAAGAAAAATAGAAAGCTTTGGCTGATTAAATATATAGATAATCATGTTCAATTCTGGCGGAGACTGACTGCTTATCTTGATACGAGAGGTCAAAACAATAAAAAACTTATTGTACATATAATTTTATGTTACAGAATGTTGTCAACAGATAACACAGTCAAATAAACAATGGAATTTGAAAGCACTTGAGTAATTACACTAGATCGAACAACTATTCACCTCAGACTTAATGAATATCGTTAAATCAAACAATATTCACTTTGCCTTCAGCAAATAATTCTTAAATACACTGCATTTCATGTATAATCGCATTTATGAGAAACAAAAATACTCTTTGTAATTATATAAATATCATGAATTATTGCTCTTATAATATCTTAAATTTAGCATGCACCTGTACTATTGAGACAAAGTGAAAACTCAGCATGAGTGATGAGCATTGCTAAGGTATTACATCTTAGCCATACTCTTACTTTATTTGATGGAAAACTTACATCTCATAACTTACCCCTGATGGCGATAGAATTCGTACAACAAAAATTAACAAAACAGTGTTCTCATAATTGTGTATGTTGTAGTTCAATTTTATCCTTGGTTCAAATTTTATTTTCCTTTGTTTCAAACTCATTATCATACATTAACATGACCATTAGAACAATGGAAAATAAAATTTGAACCAAGTATAAAATTGAACTACAACATATACCTTCACTTTTCCGCCTTCCTGGTAGTCTGTCCAAGTTGTCCCATCTGTGGATAGCTGTAATTTGTAGTTCTTCACCCACTGATCTGCTTGAGAATTCCCTTGTGTGGACACAGCACAGATGATATGAAGAGTCTGTAGATCAATCTGTAGATATGGGTTAGTGTCACTTGTTCCTGCACACCATGATGATCCTGATGCGTAATTCAGTCGACCATTCTTTCCTGGTGTGCTAGCACTTTGTACAGAAGAAGCAGTTACTTCATCGTCAGAAATGGCGCCATTTTTCATTCCAAGATCTAGATCAATGCAATCAGCTGAGGAGAGAGAAAGGTAGAATACTAACACGTGTTAATTTTCAAGAGATATTTTTTACCGTCATTATCATCATTATTCTTACTATAGGCGTTAAAGTTTCTTAGAGGTAACCTCAACCCTTTATAAAAAAAATGCTTAAACTGTTTCAATGTTCCAAATGTACTTCTCAACATATCTGCCAAAAAAAACAAAAATTGCCTTACCAAGCAATCTGATTTTTTTTTGTTTATCGTTTTCCAAAAAGGGTCTGCAAAATCTGCGAGCCAGCGAGCCGTGCGAGCCACGTTTTCGAATATTTTTTTTTCTTTGATTGGTCCAAGGTCTGGGAGGTCGTCAATCATTTCGCGCCCGACTATCACTATATAAACTCCGCCCGCCATCTTGAAAGCGGAGATGACTCTGGGGACGAGTGTAAACGGTACAACCTTCCTCCCAGGGCACTCTTTCTTTCCATGGTGCTTAAAATTGAAATATTCCCAGAAAAAATCCTAATCTCGCTTCGGTTGCCAGAACTATTGCTGGTGCGTCAAAATGTGAAAAAAGCTCTGAACATCTGTACGTCTCACATTAACTGATTATCTTTCGTTCAACAGCCTACATCGGAGTCTTTGCAGTCCGCTTATAAAAGGTACCATAGTTCTGAGACTGCTTTTGTTCGAGTGCATAATGACATTCTCCGATCTGTCGACAATGGGGAAGGTGTTATATTAGTTTTGCTTGATCTGTCCGCAGCTATTGACACTGTGAATCATTAATTGCTTTTATCGGCGTTTGTCTACATGCTATGGACTTTGTGGATCGGTCCTTAACTGGTTTACCTCTTATTTGACCAATCGCACTCAGTTCGTGGATATTACTGGAACTTTCTCAACGATACGTCATCTCGGCGTTGGGGTGCCTCAAGGCTCGGTCTTAGGCCCTTTACTTTATCTTTTATACACTTCACCTGTTGCGGATATTATTCGCCGTCATAATCTTAACTTTCACTTTTACGCCGATGATTCACAACTATTTTTATCTTTTAAGGGTGCTGATCGATTGTTTGATTCTAAGCTGCAGCTCGAGGCTTGTATTAATGACATTTGCCGGTGGATGGTTTTCAATGAATTGAAACTTAATCAAGACAAGACTGAATTATTGGTTATTCATTCCAGTTATCGTTCCTGTCCGTCGCTGTCCTGTCTCCGTGTTGGGGATGTTGATGTTGCTCCAATGAAAGCCGCTTCCCAATCTTGGCGTTGTCTTCGATGATACTATGTCTTTTAAATCACATATTTCTGATGTTTGCAAGTCTTCCTTTTCTCACCTTAGGAATATTTTCGAGAATTAGAAAGTATTTGACCCGCAAAACCACTGAAATGGTTGTTCATGCTTTTGTTACCTCTGAACTTGACTATTGTAACTCTCTACTCTATGGACTTCCTCAGTTCCTTATTGCTAAATTACAATCTGTTCAGAACTCTGCTGTGCGTCTACTTTGTATGACTAGGAAGTTCGATCATATTACTCCGACTTGAATTGATCTGCATTGGCTTCCCATTAGTCATCGTATTGCTTTTAAGATTCTTCTTTTAGTTTATAAATCTCTTAATGGTAAGGCCCCGTCGTATTTGTCTGATCTTTTAACTTATCGTAGGAGCTGTTATTCTTTGCGATCTGTTGGTAATGGCGACCTTTTAGAGCTATCTTCAAAACTGCGAACTTATGGAGGTCGATCGTTTGCAGTATATGCTCCTAGATTGTGGAACTCTTTGCCTCTTTCAATACGTAGGAGTTCTTCTGTTGACATTTTTAAAGGCGTTTTGAAAACTTATCTTTTTAAAATGTTTGTTAGTGAATGTTTGTAAATGTAGTTTGTTTATAATTTATTTCATTTGTTGTAAAGCGCCACGGGCAATTTATTGGAGTTGTGCGCTATAATTATTATCGTTATTATTATTATTATTACTATTACGTCGTGCCAAGTCTTGCGTCATAGTAATGGCCGTCCTGAGTTGGACGAACGTTTTTCTTCGTTCCATATTTTTGTTATTTTAGAGAATATTTTATCTATTCAAATTGCTCATGATCCACAAAAGATAAAAACAATGACTTCAGTAAAAAAATTTTCTGAGGAAAACGTACGGCTACACCCCCTTCCCCTACTCGAATGGGTTGTTGAGTGGTAATCAATTGACTCCTGTCATTCATTAAAATCCACGTGGAATAAATGAATGAATGAAAAATTTATTCAAGTGTCAATGTATTTAGGTTTACAGGTGTAAAAACTAATTGGGAACAGTACTTAGTTACTTAACCTGAAGAAGTTTAAAAATAAATTTATTAGTTATTTACACATTTAGAGTAAAATTTCAGATGTAAAACTGGAGAGTTATTTACATACTAATAATACTTTTAGATGGCTAAAAATTATACAGAATGATAAAATCTTATTTTATGAGCAGATTTCACAGTCCACACAGGTGTCTTTTAACAATTCGGTCAGGTTTCGTTTCTTTATGCTTTGTCTAAAATCGTTAAAAGATGTTTTCTCCCGATCACTGACGCTGAACTTCCTCCATATGTACGGTCCGAAGTAACGAAGTGAGTGTTTGCCGTAACAGGACGTTCTGACCCGCGGGATATGCAGAAATGCCACACAATGTCGCAGTACGTCAGATGCGGTAAAATAGCAGATTTGTAGAGTTGAAGTTTGGCTGAGTAGGGTATAAGGTATAAGGAAAATCTTTCAAGAGAAAAGAGAACAGTACTTCCATGGCAACTCCGTGTACTGGCGTCAAGAATGGTGGGTAAATCGTGTCATTTTAAAAGCTTCGCTCTTTAGTGAATCAGAGTTATCTTGTTCCGTTGCTCTTGTTCTTTTCCTCATGCGAATATAAATGTAACAAATAAAAATTCTTAACATTTTTACTGTGGCTCGCATGGCTCGTATGGCTCGCTGGCTCGCAGATTTATAACACTCTTCCAAAGAAAGGTCCGATAGGCTTTCGCATGGCCACCATCTTGAATAGCACGCAAGGCACTCGGCTGATGACGTGTAATCGATGGTACGTTCTTACTCGGTGCATTCGCGGGGTGATGCTATTATTGTTGTCGCGCGAAGAAAATTTTTAGTGACTATATCACAGATCTTCCCCATCAGTTGAAGCCATAAACACCATGAGGTGTGCGAAAGGCGGTCGACATTTTCAGAATTAGAACCTGACGCTTCCCCATATTCTTCATCTTCTTCTTCACTTTCCTGTCTCTTCGCTTGAAGAGTACTCTGGCCCCACTATATAGAGCATCAATAAGCAATATAGCATCAATAATTAGTTCTTATTAACCGAGCTCTAGGTCTGTATGGGAGAATCTTGACCGAGGTCGCCAGTACAGGCCGAACTCAGTGAGGTCTGTA